TGTCAAATCTAAACTGCTTCAGGAACGCTCTTTACAAATACTTGGAAGGAAACGTATTTTATTCTTTAGATGAATTTTTGATGTAACTGTATGTGCATTATTATATTATCTTATATTATTATGATCAATAATGTACTGTTATTTTAATGTTCTGTGATTGTACAATTGTTCCTTCATTTATGAACATACGGTACTTCTTTTCAATATATACTTATTTATGTTTGTATTTTTGTAACTGTTATTGTTTATTAACTTTTAATATATACTTATTTTGTATTTGTATTGCTGTAGCTTGTAGGTTCTGTTATGACTAGTCCAATAAGTTTATATGATGTCTTTTATACATTTGTATGGACTTCGGTGATGAATAAATTTGATTTGATTTGAAGCAACATGGATTTTGTCAACAAAAGTCAACTAATACAGCAATGTTTTCATTAATAAATCAACTAATCACACATATTCATGCAGGTGACTGTCCGGCAGTACTTCTGTGTGACTTGAGCTGTGCATTTGACTCTGTCAATCATGAAAAACTGGCTTCAAAATTGAAATATTATAGTGTAAGAGGTGTCTCCCTCAGTTGGCTGAATTAATTTTTCCAGAACCAGGATCAATTTGCGTCACTGCAAATGACGAAAAAAATAATAGTACCTTAAAATTTGATTCTGAACGTAGAAACATAACAGTGGGTGCACCACATGGCTCCATATTAGGTCCTATTTTGTTCATTCGCTAGGCAAATAGCATTGATTCTATAATTGAAAACAGTAGTTACACAGCCTATGCTGACGATATTTCATGAATTGTCTCTGCACCTGATACTACCATTTTAGATATTTGTGTATTCACATTCATCAGAAAAAAATTGATAACCGCCAGTTTAATGTGAAAAACATATCTTTAAAAAGTGATGGTAGTAGTATCAAGCTTTTAGGTATTTATCTGGATCGGTATATATAAGTTCGGTACTGACTAGAGCTCAGTTATTTAGTATCTACTATGCTCAAGTAGACTCTAGAATTAGGTAAGATGTTTGTTTCTGGGGAGGGGCAGTTCGGTACAAAATGTATTCGATGCACAGAAGCGCATTGTATGATGCATGGCAAATATTTCCCAAAAAAGATTCTTGCAGATAGTATTTTAAAACATATATTTTAACTCTTGCAACAGTGTATATGATTGAAATGTGTGTATATGTTTTTAAAAGTAAGTCAAATTCTACATTGAATAATGTGTGCCAATTGCAAAATTAAAAGTGACTTATTATGGGTCAGAATACATTGGTTCAAAAATTTACAGTAATCTTCCTAAATATGTGAAGTCTTCAAAGCCTGTTAGAAATTTGTTATTATACACTAGCAGATTTTTTTAATAATTCTTAGGTCTGTAATAATTTCACTATCGCCTCATTTAATTTTTATATTTAACTCCTTAGTATTGTCAGTTTCCCATACAACTTTATATTGTACTTATGGAAATGAAGTGTTGTTATTATTATTATTGGTAGAATATCTTGAACATATTTGAATTTATATATTTACTTGTGTACTACTTCTATTATTCATTATACTTGTACTTGACAATTTCTATACAAATGAATAAACACCTAGATGAAATTGATAGGTGGAATTCGAATTTCTGGACCAAGATTGTCATTTTCTATTGACGTGCCTGGAGACGGTATTTTTCTTGTCATAGGAAAAGTGTTTTCAATATATACTAGATGAACTTTGTTTAGTAGGTTGAGATTTTGACAAGCAGAACGGAACTCTGAAAATATATCTTCGAAAATGCTGATGTGATTTGCTTAAATTAATTGGTATTATGAATAAGCGACATTATGCAGACAAAAATGTTTAAAATCAACTGTAGTCGAGGCAGAATCGGATTAATTGAAAACAAATATTATTACTCAAATCATGCAATTGAAAAACACAGAAAGCATCCTACATTCTACAAAATTCACTCACATGCCATCTATATACATTCACCTTAAATGTTAGATATTAGAATGGTTTACTCCTCAAAATCCATCTACGGATTAAAAAAATATTGTAAACATTTCATAGTAAAAACTGATACAAAAAAATAAAATAGATTGTCATTGCTAGATCGCACAGGCCAACATTTGGAAAAGTCTAATAACTTCCTGAAAGCTTTTCGTACACTGAATTTGAATTCATATTTATGAAATCTGAAAACTTACCTTGTTGCTGGTACGGCCTACCACCATGACTACTGTGCACTGAAGGAGGTCCTTGCCCATACATATCGTAAGCTTGATCTGGGCTCAAAATATCCTAGAATAATCAACGAAAAGATGCAAAAACAAAAAGGGAAATGAACATAAAAGGCTTCAAAAGTGCACAAAATTAATAATTAAAAATTAACATCAAACTTCTACTAACTTTCAAAAAATATTCAGCCATATAATGAAACATATCAAGCCAAAAACAACTGAAATTAATTTGATACATACCTTTACCATAAAAATAGTTTTGAAATTTAAAATGACTCATTTGGTCCCTCATAAGAAATGGATAACAAAAAGAAAGTCTCAACTACTTTTACAATCATATTTCAATTTGAATAATTTGTAACCAGTTAAGTCGTATCTCAAATTTATCCAAAATCATTTCATACCTGTAGATCAGGCCCCATGCCGAGATCCGGGTTCCACAGGTTTTCTTCGCGAAACAGGGAATTAGTTAATTCCATTGAGAGTCTTTTCTTGTAATCTTGAGGTTTGTCCTCACTCATTCGGAAGAGAACTGCTGCTGCATAGGTAGCAACCCCTGAAAATTATGAAGATTTGCATTATTTGCAGAATACAGAAATATGAAAAATAAAAAAACTCAATTTCAGCTCAGATTGATTTTGTAAAATTATATTTTACATTGGCTCCACTATTTTAAATAACTAGATTCCAAAATGTACAGTATAACAATGTTATTTCTATAATTATTTTCAAAAACAATAAGTTCCAAATATGATTTTCACAATTACTTGTAGAGTTTTGATACCCTTACATTTTTTCTACAGAATGATGAGTTCTTCCCGGCACTCAAATATGTCATCAATATTCAACAGACATTCAACAGAACGGATTTCTACAGTACAGAAATGGTAAATTATCCATAACCATGGATAACCATGTTAATATCACAGGAATTAACAGTAGGCACTGGGTCTACCATGTTAATAATCTGAATAAATGAAACTACCAAAATCACTAGAAGAGTTTAAGGTTTTTATTCACCAAGCGCATCTTATTAAAATCCTGTTACCAATGAGAATCTTTTAGGTTATCATACCTTGCAATGGAACATCCATAATGAATTCATGAAAAATCACTACTTCAAAAAAATTAATACAATCAGAAATACTGTTCCCATTTCTATTTATGTCCGTTCTTTATTGGCGATTTGATGAAAAAGACCGAATGGAATTAAGAGCTGCCCTCTTATGTCATACCTTTGCAGTTTTTCTAGCAGGCTATCAGAATGAGGTTAGAGAAAACATATTTTGTCTAATTTCTGCCTACTACCTTTTAGCTACTATAAATTTCAGGTACTCTAGGTAAATTTGCCTGTATTTGTACTCCATCAGGTACTATTCTTTGTGAGTTGAGATGTTCGGACCGTATAAAGAGGCAGACGACAGGATGATATGTTCAGTTTGAGGAGTGCCTAGAAGATGACAGTACGACCAGCTGTCGAAAGCGCTCGCAGATAATTAATAGAAGATATAAAGCTTCAAATCCTTTTTGTGAAATTTAATATTCAAATAAAAAATACAATATATTAGATACAATACAGATATTGAAACTATGTTATTTAAATATACACANACTATTTTTAGGAATTTCGAGGTAATATCTATGTTAAGAATATGTCCATAATTATAATAAAAAATCTTACCCTCTGTGTATCTTGGAATGCTCTCATCAATAACTGTACCAGATGGTGTATAGCTCCATGTTCTCTCAGAGGAGCATGATTTGCTGGACATAGAGCGAGGTTTCTTATCAAACCAATTACAGCCTTAACCAATGGCCAACGAGATGGTGGGTTCAATAGTTTTACAATGACCTGTAACTATTGACGATGTACAAGAAATATCTAAATAAATTGAATTGTTTTAAAAACTTTTTTGTCAGTAGAAAAACTGAAAGAACATTTTAACACAATATATCTCTAATATTTAACATGTACCTGAACTCCATAGTTTAGTCTAACAGCGTTCTGGGCCATTTCTGACTCAACATGCCTTGAAGTCAAGTGGCGCAAAGCACAGACAGCTGGCTCGGTGATTTCTTCACGATCCCCAGCACTCACTATGGTGCGAACCAGGGCATCTACCCCACCAACCTGACAGACTGTCACTTTATTACGTTGATTGTTGCATGTGAGATTAGAAAGAATTCCAGCTGCACACGTCACAACATTCACATCTGAAGAAGCAAGTACCTAAAAATTGAAAACATCAAAATGAGGGAAATATTCCTATATAAATTTCAATAGACGAAGAAGAATAAAAAGGTTTTTTGTAGACAAATAACTCACTTGGACCAAAGACTGGAGTAAACTCTCCAAACCATCAACTTTTGTTGCTGCATCTGACAAATTCCGGAGTGTCCAAAGACAATTCTGCACCAACCTTGAGCTGGAATTAGTCAAGTGCATGGCCAAAGCCTGCATGCCACCTGCCTCAACCACAGCAGGTTTGTTACTGGAACAAACTGACAAAACCTGGGAAAACATCAAAATGTTAACAAAAGCATTCAATTTAAAAAAAAATGTACTGTAGCAAAAGACTGATGTTTATAGAATTCATAGTAGCATGTTATGATTCAAATCCTACTTTTCAAGTCAAGTGTACAAGATAAATATCAATAGTTTTTACATAACGACAAAAATTCTATGTTTCACAGGAGTCTGTTCTCTACCCATTGGTTTTTTCCTTTTATATAAATTATCTAACTGATACAACCGTGACACATTCTTAGTGTAAAAATGATATAACCTCATAAAATAGACCAAAAAAAGTATATTAAAATTCAAAGATTGCTTCTTCTTACAATACATCTAAAACCAATATCATCAATGTTAAAATGCAATGGGCTTGTTTCATGCTATAGAAAATGATACTGGTTTGCTTATAGACTGATCGAGTTAGGGGTATATTATACTTATCAAGCCTAATCGGTCCCGAAATCTCTTTATATTTGCAGAAAAAAGAATAATTCGAAAAGCAAGAATTTAAATTGGCCCCGTGTCTGTTGACCAATAAAATTGATCATGTCTAGAGCGGAGTTGCCAAGTGTATTAGGTTTAATATCCAATCACAGATCTGATGATCCAATTTAACAGACGCCATTTTTGTTGTTATTGTTGTCAACTCATTTGGATACAACTATTACAATTATCTAATTAAAGTGCGTTTTTTTGTAAAAGGTAGGTCTCGGTGTGTGCCTATTTTGCTGCATATTCCGTGTCATTAGTTTACATTCCGAAAAATATTTTTTCAGGTTATTTTTGGATTGATATATTTTGGAGTAATTCTACATTTCACTGTACATATTTTTGCTTTTTTTTTAGTCACCAGACTACTCCTTGGCAGAGATAAAATAAAAATTAAATCAAAACTTTCCATCCTTCGATAAAAGACAAAGTCTGAAATGAATGTCATATACCTACTAAATATACCACCTACCGTTTCAATTTTTCATTCTTCATTTCGGTACCAAATGCAAATTTTTCAAGTAAAATTCATTGATCATTTCAAAATCAATTCTTGGTAAGTTGTCGGGAGTCAGCTTTAACAAAACTAGGCTCAACATTCATTTCGAAATTATTTAAACAAAAATACGAAGTTTGTGGAAACCGTTGACATTAGAAAGAGCACATTGTTGCATTCACTACAGAAGGTGCTGGCTGACTGGATGACAACATGGCAGTAAAGTTGAATTTCTTATTTTTGGTGGGTAGCATGAATGCATAATTGATTTATTTTATTAGGGTTCATGAGCATTCGAAAATACAGCTCGTTTAATTCTATTTAGAATCATATTTAGACATAACTTGTACTATATCAGTTATCGAGGCAAATATTATTGTCCATTTTTATGCTTAATTCGTGGATCCGTGCGATATCATTATTGTATATTTGTTTGCTGGCTTCATTCTTAAAAAAAATAAATGAATAATTACAGAAAATTTCAATTGATCATTCATTTTCTCAGGAAAATGCAGTACCCATATCACAAATTATTGGTTTATTTGGATCCATTCTGCTTATTTTTGCAACATTGAGTTTCAACTTTTTCTTAGCTGACAGCTCGCGTAGGAACAATTCGTTTTTATCATCGAGTTTAGTTTGTGTTTGTTTTTAAAGTGTTTTAGAGATATATTTGAATATCAATATGGTGCATTCTTGTGCTGATTTTAATTGTGCAGAAAGGCACAAGAAAACAGAAAAGGCATTGGTTTATAGATAAGTTATTTCATATAATGAGTTTAGGTTCCTAAAGAATAAAATGATGAGAAAAAATTGGTGAAAGTATTGAAAAGAAAGAACTGCAATCCTTCTACTCTTCCAAAACTTCATAGAAATCATTTAAAAAGTGACTATAAATGATAGAGGAACAAAAATATCAAATTTGATGACAGAGTTTTTCTATTTCAACTTCAAGTATTCTCTAGAGAAAGTATTATCTGGAGTTAATACTGTCGCTGAAAGTATGATACACTTTACTTCATTAAATTTTATCATATGATTAATGGTATTACCTCAGGAGCTTTTGTTGGATCAGTTCGAGTACAATCAATTCTGTCTATACTTGACCTTATTCAACGAGAGATGAAACAAAGTGCACTGTTTTTCAATTCAAAATTTCTATCAAGTGAACTATAAAACAAAAATAATGAAACAAGCCCATTCAACATTGTTCTTGGTCTGTTAATAATTTTCTGTTTCTGAACCCAGTGATGTAAGTATGCTGTCTGTTTGAAAAAACATGGTGAATTTTCATTTTTCTCCCCTTCAAAGTAGTCCCCGTCAGGTGTAATACACACGTGCCAGTGTTTTTTCCAATTCTCGAAGCAGTTCTGATATGCCTTTTTTGGTATGTGCTTGAGCCCTCTCAGCGATTTGGTTTTATCTCAATTTAATTTTTATATCCTCAATCATGGCAAATTGCCTTCCTTTCATGGGTCTCTTCAATCTTTGGAACAGGAAAAAGTCGTAGGTGGCCAAATCTGGTGAATACGGTGGCTGAGGCATGAAAATGATGATTTTTTAGCAAAAAAATTACGAACAAGCAATGACGAGTGAGCAGTTGCATTATTGTGATGCAAAAACCATGAATTGGTTTCACACAATACCAAACGTTATCTTCATATTGCTTCTCGTAGGCGGCGCATAACTCAAAGATAATACTCCTTCCTTATTGACCGTATGACCATGTGGCAAAAAGTCCTGGTGCACTACACCATGGCATGCTTTTTTTGGTCTTGTCTCATCTGGACTCTTTCATTGGAATGATTGGACTTTGGTTTCGATGTCGTAACCATATACCCATGAAGAGTCACCAGTTATGTACATTTTAAGCAAATCTGGATCGCCAACCAGTTTGCCGACATCCTCAACAACTTCTCCAATAGTGATTAGACCATTCTCCATAACAATTCTCTTTACTTCCTCAACATTTTATTCGGTTGTTGATGTGCTGGGGCGTTCAGGGCGAGCATCGTCATTCAAGTCTTCTCGACCAATTATAAACATTTTCTGACTCAGAGTACAACCACCGTATTCCACTATCAACAGTTCAAGTATTTTTGAGAACTTTATTTCATTTTTCAAATAAAATTTGATGCAAGTTTTTTATTCACCGCAAAACACGCTGAACACACAAAACACTTCTAAAACTTTTCCTCTCACCAACAAAGTAAATATGCTAAACAGC